CACACACACACACACACACACACACACACACACACACACACACACACACACACACGGACCTCCCCCAGACAGCCATGCTCCATAAAGACAGTCAATTCTTCGCGTGAAGTGACTGCAATTCCTTTCCTCTTTGTACGACACAAAAGAAAGAATGGCATTCTGTCTGTTTACCCAACTGGCGAGGAGTTAGAAGCACACACACACACACACACGGACCTCCCCCAGGCAGCCATGCTCCATAAAGACAGTCAATTCTTCGCGTGAAGTGACTGCAATTCCTTTCCTCTTTGTACGACACAAAAGAAAGAATGGCATTCTGTCTGTTTACCCACTGGCGAGAGTAGAAGGAAAAGGGGAAGAGAGGAGGTGAAGGGTACAAATGGGTGTTCGGCCAGCAAGAGACAATTTCACAGTTTGATCAATGGAAAACACAGTCAGAAGAGAGGGACAGGGGAGAGAGACATAAGTGAGAGAGAGGGAGAAACAGGATGGGGAGGAAAAAGGAGGAAGAGGTAGATGAAAAATTGAATAATGTAATTTCCCCCTGGGATTATTAAAGTATTTCTGATTCTGAAAAAGGCTGAAAAAGAGGGAGTAAAAGTAAGCAGCAGCAGTGTATTTGCTTAATCACAAAAATACACAACATGATGGCAACATTTTGTGAAAAGTATGTGACAGCTGAACATAACACCCATATGTCATTGTTGGATATCTCATTCCAAAACCGAGGGCATTATTATGCTGCTGGAACAGCCTCCACTCTTCTAAGGAGCTTTTCACAAGATTGTGAGACAGGAGGGATTCCTGCAGGGATTTGTTCCCATTCAGCAACAACAGCAAACAGCGCTGCATTTAAAAATACCAAGGGGCTGTGTTGATGGGGGCGTGTTCTTTTAGATACCAGTAAGACTGAAATACAGACCAGAATGTCCAGTTTTAGTAATAGACACGAGTTGCTATAATTTTTACCAGGTAAACATTAGAAACACAGCATTCACTCTATAAAGTAATATACCAGGAATGTGTACTTTGATTGGCCAATGCCGAATCCCAATTGGGACATGTGGTGAGGGTTAAGCCAGGTTCAATCTCACATCTTCTGCCTTTATTAGGCATTTGACAGCAGAGACATTACAGGAAATGAGAAGAAAGAGAGATGGGGAACAACATGCAACGTCCCCCTCAAACGGGGGTTGTAGCAGTTCACGGTCAGTGCCTTCACCCATTGGTCATTTTGCCAAATGACTCAGTTGACGCAGTTTGCCAGAGCCCTGTGTGTGTTAGCAGGCCCACTGCTTTAACTGTGTGGTGACATTTAAATAAAGGGGGAGACAACGTTTTTTCACACAGTACTGTTGTCTGTCTATAGACGGCCTTGGTGAGGTTGGATACTGATGGTGTCTTGGCTCGCACCTGGCATTTCAGTTCACCCTAAAGCTGTTCAATGGCTCTGTTCAGTAAACTCAGAAAAGTATCAAACTGTTGCCACAAAGTTGGAAGCAAACTACTCTCGGAAATATAATTGTATGTTGCAGCATTAAATTATCCTAAGGAGCCTAGCCCAAACCATTAAAACAGGAGGGGGAATACATTTGTTTGACAATATAGTGTATCACTGTATAAGGCATACATAACCCAAAACAGGACATATATGAGTGCATTTGTAAGCACTGGCACAAATCCATCATGATTACTCCACAATTTCATCCCACTGGGGGAAAAACAGAGTGGTTCAACCTTTTCTGTAGATATTTTGGGCTGTATAAACTTATTACTGAGTCGGTTTCTACCCAGAACAGTCGCAGTGTGATGTATGAGAGAGAAAGAGTCAAACAGAAGGTTGGATGGACAGAAGGAAGAAGGAAAAAGGCAGGAAGAAGCAGTGGGGGGGAAGCTGAGAGCTTGTGCAAAGAAAAAGAGAGACGGAAGAAGAAGGTAGGGAGTGAGAGAAGATGGTAGGAAGAAAAAGGTTAAGAGAGGGAGTGAGCGGTGATTTGAATGCTGACTGTGACGGAGCAGTGAGCAGGCAATTACTGACAATCACATTGATAGAAGAGCTGCGGTGCAAAGGAGAGATGGCGCGACAAATAAACCCCTCACAGTTTTTCTCTGTCTGTCCTCACCTACTCCTCTAATTCTATTCTTTTTTTTTCCTTCTTTCCTTCTGTGAGGCAGAAGACCTGCAGAGTTACAAATGTACCAACCGAAACCAGCCAATTAACTTTTTTAAGTTCCCATATTGGCCTTGACCCTTTGATCTTTATCTTAGAGACCATTAATGCCTGATAGTCCATTATGCTGTGTTTACATACCTTACATTCCTTTAGATATTGGTATCATATTAACGAGCTGTGTGAGACCACATCTGTAGAAATCCTTGTAAATAACACCAAACATTTAGCCTGGAATAAAAATGATGATGGTTCCGGTCTCCAACAGAGGTGTACACTTTTACTTTCTGTGCCCGAACTTCAGTTATTATTGTTTGTTTTCTGGTCATACAGTATAACCTTAAACACATTTTAGAAGCTTAATTGGTGCACTCAGAACTAAATGAGTGCACCAATTAAAGGTTTATTGAGGTAGCTGTCAACTAACTTTTTGTCTATTGAGTGATTAATAGAATAGCCTCTGCAGCACATTATCATGAATATAATGGATTACTAGTTTAGTGTATAAAATGTCAAAAAAACAGCAAAAAATGTATATTTCTTTCATTCTTTCTGGTGAAGGGCGATGTCTTTGAATTGTTCTGTCCAGTACAAAATCCAAAATGTTTCATTTACAATTACATAGGAGAGAAAAGCAATGTAACTGGGACTAGCAACTGTTTCTGCTTGATAAATAATTAACCATTCATTAATTACACACTTTCCTACCTCCCTGTATTACTCTCTGTGCTTAGCTTCTGTTCTTCTGTTGCTGTCTCAATGAATATATAAACCACTGAGAAAAAAAATTTCAGTGTACACACACACAGATGCCAGCACCCCATTCCTCTCTGTCCCACCTCCATTTGCACACCATGACCCCACAGCCTGTCACATGACATGAACGCACCAACAATGAAAAGCCCTTTTGACATTTTTCCAAGCTTCCTACAAGCCTCATTCCTCACCCACTGTATCAGACAATAAACAGCTCTGAAGAACAAGAGAGAAAGGGAGAGATGGACACTCACAGATAACAATGAATTCCCTACAGTGTCTACAGACACACACACCCCCGCCCACTCCATCCCTCAACCACCCAGTAGTTATTGTATACCACACAACTACTCCCACTCCAAGACCACTCCACACTGTCCTGGGTCAGCAGTTCAGCCTCCCATGAGGAACAACAGCGAGACAGCAGAAAACAGAAAATGAGAAGGTTATGAGGCAGTGAGCACAGCTGGAGATGCTTGAGTGAGACCTTGGACAATCAGCAGCAGGATGCAGTTTGAAGGTGAAGCTGAAAGTGGGGCAAGGTGAGCGTTAAGAGGGGAATTTATCACCAGACTGAGAGTCATTTCCTATTAGGAAGCGTCTCTACCTTGTAGCTGAGGTGATACTGGAATATAGCTTTTGGGTCTGGGTGTAAAAATTGAGAAAAGTTTGATGTGTGACACAAAAAAAGTTTGGATAATGTAGACAGTGGAGTTTTTCTAGAGTTGAGGGCACAAACATTGCTTTCTAAGTCACAAATACGTCTCAGTTCTTGGCTAAGAAGTCCCAAATCAAGACGAGGTGAAGACAAAATCCTAAACTTTGTGTTTCAAGTCTTATACAATCCATTATGCACCCTAATGTTTAAACTAAGTAAAAGTTAGTATAGTGAATTTACAGAAATAATGAATGCTATTAAATAATGAAAGTTTGTATAGCTTAACTATAACATTTAAAGGCAAAAATATCAGGCATTTCTCTGTGACACAGCAACACTTATCTGTAGTTTCTGACCTGAATGTTTTGTTGTGGTCCACTGTTTGTTCACCACAGTAGAGTCTTCACGGTCAAATGTTATAATCAATACAAAACAACACAATCTTTGAGGATTGTGGAGGATACCAAGTGTAAAGGTCTAAAGCCTAAAGTCCAAGTGAAGTGTTTGGTATTAAAGTCAAAGTTGAATTGCAAGATTTTTTTGGTCAAAAGTCATCGGATTGATGACTTGAGTTTGACTCATTTTGACTCAAACCCACACTGTTTTTTCCCACATGAATGTCACCATGGCCTGCGAGAACACACTTGATATATCTATTAATACTGAAATGAAAATCTAAATATGGACACAAGGACACAGTTCTGGATAAGAGGTGCCAATAAACAAGTTAGCAAGCCTATACAGGGTTAAAACGTCTCACCAGGTTGACAAAGTCTTGGTAGCAGATCTTTCCATCGGCGTTGCCATCAGCCAGGGCCAATAGGACTTCCAGTTTGTGGGGGTCTAGTTCAGAGCCGTGGGTCGCCAGAAGGTCCCTGAACCGTTCCGTACTAATGAAGCCCGAACTGTCTGGGTCATACTGTGAATGAACACACACAGATGGCGCAAAAATGGTTTGAATTTAATGTAATCCGACTAACTGCAACAATATGGAAATAAAATACAAATAAATAATACATTTCTACTTGAAGCAAACTAAACATGGCTGACAGTAGATTACAGGCACAACACACATGCAGCGTATTAAATAAGCAGCAGATACAAACAAACATGTTAGAAGTTCATAAGCGGTCAATATCCCCCAGTGCATAATTTTCTGTGCAGCCAAACATCAAAAGCTCAAAAACCCATCAGCGGTGGTTTGGACACAGTTTGAGCGTCTTGTAAAAGAGCCCTAATTGCTCCAAAAAGGCCCAACTGTTGAGAAACAGCAGTAACTTTTAACAGCTTTGGATTTCACTTTGAAATGACACTGAGTGCCGCATTTAACCACAGGCTTTTTTTCTTTTCTTTTTTTTTGGCTTATTCACAGCCAGAACAGAGGAAGCATTCAAATGTTTCACAGAAAACACCAGATTCGCTGACAAAATACCATATATTTTAAAAAGCTGGGAAATTTAAAGAGCAGTGGTTACGCACTTGAATGCGAAAAGAGCACTGCACTTTTCTCCAGCTTTGTTACCCCTGACATCTTGGTCCCACACACTCCCTTTTTTCCCTTGCACTTAATAGTTTGGTGCTTCAAACCTTAAGTGGCTATTTAGAGTGAAACTGCCACTAAAATACATACATACTGTTTGTGTTGTGTTGGTGTCTGTTCATGTTGTGAAGTATATCCAAGAGAGCTAGAAGCTATAAAGGAGGCACACTGATTGCAGAGAAGTGAGCAAAAGCAGTCATTATTGTCTTCGCTTTTTCTAAAGGAAACTCTTGCTCTTGATCACCTAAAAGAAGGATGAAAGGCGACAGCTGTTTGACAATATTTGTCTGTTCAATTAAGGACAAACTGGCCTTAAATATATGAAAATCTAGGACTTGAATGTTTGATTTGAATGTCAGGTCGTTTGTGGACGCAGACAGAAGACAGTTCCTCCTCTCCGTCTCTATGTGTGTATGCAAATGTAGCTGTGTGTGTGTGTCTTTGTATATGTATATTTGCAAATGTGAGTGTAACCATGTCTGTGTGTGTAAATACAGCATATTCATGCATAAAGATGTGACATTCAGACATTAGGAGTCGCCTGCCACATTCCAACACCCCTGAACCAGAAATAGTGACTGTGTACATCCATGCGTGTGTGTACGTGAGTGTGTGTTTGCCATATGCCGGTGCTGGCAGACACTGAGTAAAGCCAGGCTGGCAGCAGGTGCTCTGTGCTCGACCGCATGACAACGTGGAGAAGAGGGTTTGGCTCTGCCTCGTGTTGTTTTTGTCCATATTACCTAACAGTGATAAGGCTTTTTTTCCTCTGCTGTTAAAGCTACACTTGTCACTACACTTTCCACTCAATGTCATCTTTGAGATCTGGCTGTAATAAACATGCATATTCAAACTTGGCCTTAAAATTGATTTTATGCAGCTCCAGTTTATTAACTGCATGATTTTTGCAGGTTTGGTTCACTGGCCATCCCTTCCAAAAATGTGATAAGAGGATTATCTCCAAAACCATCCTTTTTTGTCTGTTTTTAAGTCTGTGTTGTGAGCATGATAATGCTATAGAAGGTATATTAAAGGTCCAGTGTGTAACATTTAGGATGATCTATTGGCAGAAATTGAATA